ACGTGTGTAATTAAAATGTATTAGACTTAAACATGTATGTAACGTGCCATTGACTTTAATGCACAGTGAAACATATTTGCTCTTACGTCCTGTTCTTTTATATGTACAATCCCTGTTGAATTATTAAAAGAGTGTTTGTTTGGAATCTGTCGGAGCTGTCATCCTAATCCAGGCTCAACTACAGAGTCGCTGACTTGGAACATATGTGCTTTACAAAGGTCAGTGACAAACCAATTAGTGAAGTAAGGATAAGGATGACAGCCATGGAGCAGGCAATTTCAAAAATAAGTCAGCAGTGGCTGCTCATATGTTCTAGCCTGACAGGTTCAAACAATAAGGCAACTTAGGCACTAGGTCACAAAGCCAGTAAGAGCCCTTTAAAGAACACCAGTTAGAAAGTGGCATGTTTAAGAATCTCAACATTTTGTTTAAATGGTGCAGCGTCACCTCTCAGGAATAGGTGTGCATGTTGTTCTTTGTATTCTCTAAGAGATAAGCTTGCACTATTATAGTGTTTCATTACATATGCCCATTGGTAAATGGTCCCTTTTAAATACTCCCATTTGTTCCTGAATCCTGCTAACCTTGTAATACCAGTGAGAGATGACTGACCCTAGAAGCTAGCACTATACATTTATAGTTATGTTTAATTATAGTTTCTTATAGGGCCCACATTCCTTAGCCATCTTAAAAGGAGGACTATGGGGTGAGTGAATTACACTCATACCCATAGTTAGAGCCGATGTGTGGCATTGAAACGGTCACATGTCAGCTCTATTGATTGGGAACTGAACGAAAACATCTCCCTGCAGAGAGCAACGGCTGTCATTCACCGCTCCCCACTGGGATTCCCCCCCTCTCTAATCCTCCAGTAGACATGTGCGATTCGTTTCGAATCGAAATTCGTACGAATTTTCCTGAAATTCGTAAATTCGGAAGCATCCGAAATCCGAATTGCAGTTTCCGAATAATATCCAAAATACGAAATTCCGTTTACGAAATTTCGGATTCGAATTTCTTTGAAACGGGAACTAATATTACCCCCGTAAATGAGGTTGAACAACATGACAAGATTTTTTTTTAATCCGAAATACGGATCCGCTGCTGCTGAGGGTTGCATTACAATACAGGCAGGAAATACGAAATTCAGTTGACGGAATTTCGTTCCGTTACGAACATTCGTTATGATGAAGTTAAAAAGCAAAATACCTTTGTTAATATTGGAATTGATGAGGTTTTTTTTTATCCGAAATTCGGACCCGAAATCCGTTAACGGAATTCGTATTTCGTTTGGTTGACCAATCAGAGGTTTTCTCTTCTGCTGCTGAGAGTTGCATTACAATACAGGCAGGAAATACGAAATTCAGTTGACGGAATTTCGTTCCGTTACGAACATTCGTTATGATGAAGTTAAAAAGCAAAATACCTTTGTTAATATATTGGAGTTGATGGTAGTTTTTTTTATCCGAAATTCGGATCCGAAATACGAAATTCGGATCTGAAATCCGTATTTCGGATAAAAAAAACAACTACCATCGACTCCAATATTAACAAAGGTATTTTGCTTTTTACCTTCAATATAACGAATGTTCGTAACGGAACGAAAATCCGTTAACGGAATTTCGTATTTCCTGACTGTATTGTAATGCAACTCTCAGCAGCAGAAGAGAAAACCTCTGATTGATCAACCAAACGAAATACGAATTCCGTTAACGGATTTCGGATCTGAATTTCGGATAAAAAAAACTCATCAACTCCAATATTAACAAAGGTATTTTGCTTTTTGACTTCATCATAACGAATGTTCGTAAAGTTACGAAAATGTGCCGAAACTAACGAAAATTCGTATTTCGTACGAATCCGAATTGAGTTTCGGACACGAATTACGAAATAACGCATATTCCGAAACTAAACAAATTTTTTGAAGGCGCACAAGTCTATCCTCCAGCGCTGACTGGGGAATGGACAGGGAAGGGGCGGGCATAGTTGGCTCTCCCTCTGGATAGGCAGAGCCTGCTGTCAATCAGCCAGTGGGGTGGATCTCAACGGTATTGTCGGGATCCGTCCCGGCTGTGGCACTCTCAGCATATAGCGGACAATAGTCCGCTATATACTGAGTTTTGGGTTACGGGAGGACATTAGTATATATATCGCCGATATCAAAGGTCCCATTAGGGAGCCGGATGGGCGTGTAATGACTTGCTGCCCCGCCATCCAGATCAGCCGGAAAACCAGGCAGCGTGTAATGACTTTCTGGGAAGCCGGCACCTGGTGACAAGGAAGCATGGAGCCGGCTTTCTGGCCGATCAGGAAGCTGGAGGCCAGGAAATGATCCGCCACCTGGCTTTCTGATTGGTCGAGAAGCAGGCCAATCAGGAAGCCGGGCGAAGAGTCATTACACACCCCTGGCTTCCTGATTCCTTTTCCTCAAGACGAGGGAGCATGGAGGCAGCTTCCTGGCCAATCAGGAAGCCAGTCGGCGTGTAATGACTCGGGCAAGTACGAGTACGTGCCCAAATACTCGGTATCAGCATCGATACCGATACTAGTATGGGTGCATCCCTACCGAAAAAATACTAGGTGCCTGGCTGTTTTGCTGATCATTGGACTTCAATTCTTTTTAACTTACTGACCAGTATATGTTAGCAGATTGTGGGCTCTTGCATCACCCTGACTTTACTAGCTGCCTGCTTGTTACAGATAAGAAACGCTGTACTGAAGCCAGAAGTAGGTCATCAATGACAGTCTACACATTTCTCCTAATACAAATTCATTTTTTTATGCTGTTTAGTGTGGTATTGTACTGGGCCCTGTCTTACCTGTAAGGAGAACAGGCCTGTACATCATACAGGATAATACTGTGAGTTCACTCACAGTGTACTCAAACTTGTTGGTGAGCAATGAGGACATAATGGACAATCATATGGCTATTAGAGACCTGGAAAATGTGCTCAACGTACCTTAAGCCCCACACAATTCTATCATCAGTGAAGTTGATCATAAAGTGATTGATGTAGCTTAGTTTTAAATAGTTTTTGGTGTCACCCAGGAATACTTCAAGGATTGTTTAACACTTCCTACCATTCAGTGGACCAATACCAGAGGGTGACGGCAAGTGATGCAATTAACCACGGACTTACTGAATAGGATAAGAGATGAGTGGCAGTGAGGTAAATTATGTGGGGATCCTACTGGATGGATGAGCAAATGATGGACTATTAATAATAAGTTAAGTGGCCAAAAATGTGTACAAATTGTACAACTATTCAGAGGGAAACACATATTTGCAGCTTGATCTTAATTTATGTTTTGCTTACATAAAATAACATTTAAGGAGATTGTCATGTTATCAGTGTGAAAACAAGGTGATCCATCCACTATATATTTTTGTGTAGTGAGTTTTAAACAATAAAATTGCACTTTGACAACAGGAAACTGGGTCCAAAACTGTTGTTCACCTGTAAGTAATATAATTTCCTATTGAATTGCAAGTAAGATTGTAGTGCTGAACCTCTGCTCGCGATTTCTGGAAATTGGTGTTGAAACCAACTGGATGGAAGCACACAACATAGGACTGGCAGCTCACTATATACAGTATGCATGTATCCATCAGTTGGATACATACATATTTATTTTTGGTTATGTGAAGCTGAGATACAAACATGTCTGGATTGACATCTCTATATAAATATGGGATTGTAACATTGTATATAGTTTTGTAAATGGACTGTGGGTTGTTTAATGTAAGTGGGGTTTTCTTTGTTTGTGAGTGACTAAGCAGTGTATAGGGAGGAAAAGAAGTGGTAAGAATTTCCAGGGGGAGTGTTTAAACAGTGGATTGGTAGTGTTTCTGGTTCAAGGTTGTTAATTGTGGATTAGGTATGCAAGTGACAAAGAGAGGAGAAGCTAAAAACTGTTGTGTTGTATTACGGATGATAAGAATGCAATAAAAAAAACTGCAAAAAGAAGGTGTGCAGAGACTCTTTGGAACGTGAATGTTTTATGATTAAGCATGTCTGTGCCCAGCACCCGAATCAAGGTAATTGTGCATGTCATCTATTCTGCATAATACGTATTTATACGCACACCCATGTCCCTTTCTGACTACAGTTCTGTTTGCAATTCAGTGTAAAGCCCAATGATTGAAAATAACTTGCAACATAAATAAGTGTATTTAATGCTAGACTCCAATTATCTTTTTTTATTTTATTAAAGATTTTCTTCTCTTTTCCTTAATTATTTAACAAAAGATATATATTCTGCCTGAAATCCTGTGCGGAGACAACAAAACCTGCTTTGTGATATCCAGAATGACAATGGATAGCTGGGATTTAATAACCTACACAGACTCAATTTTAACATCTGCACCTGTGATTTCATCCCCACTTTCCAAGTCCTGTGCACTGGAGAGGATTTAATACATCTCTGTAACCTTGGATGACATGACAAATCTCAATACATTACTCCAAATCCATATTAAATACAGCAAGCAAGTGATTTAAGGACTATTAAATATCTGTTTTGGCTTTATGTGAGGCACAATAGCAGAGCAATAAATGAAACATTACAACAATCCTCAGAGTGAACAGCTTGCAGGCCACAGTGGAACATATTTGTGATGTGGCTTGCATGGCAAAAGAAAAATAAAAAACAACACAATGACATTATCTAATAAACCGATTCACTGGAGCATGAACATAGACTTCTTTCCCCAGTGCAGGCAATTTGATCATTAAATACACATTTAACACACAGATTTAAATCAATCAGTTTTTATTAAATCACATATTTACATACAAGTAAGGTATTTTATTATTGGAGGCTTTGTTAAAGGATACCAATGAGAGATATCATTAAGACAATCATACATTCTATTTAATGGGGCATTAATGGAGGCTTTATTCTTTACTCAACTAGCAGATAATGTGTGTTCCCCTCTGTGTATTATTGTAGACTATCGGACTATAAATTCTTAGCAGACACGGCCGTTTAGGAGAGAGAAATTCACACCAAATGGTTTCTCTAATTTTGCTGAAAATTGGACTCCTAGTCTACCTCCCTCTCCAGAGAGACACAAAAGCCCCCCCTTCTAATACTCATCCTTTATAAGCAGCAGGGGAAATGCTAGTTCCTGCTTTCAGAAGTGGCATTGCCATGAAAAGGCATCCTGAGATGAGTAGATCTTGAAGGTAAGTGTGAGATGTTCCCATCTTGGGCGTGATGACCAAACTTTGCTACTTTATCTGACCCTTACTCCTGGAAGTTTGCAAAACTCAGTAAAAGCAAAAAGGAACAATTTATCAATGGCCCATAAGATTTTCCATCATGCCAGAAAAATCGCTAGCCATTCCTATAACTGGGTAAATCTGGAATATGATATAATGGAATGAATGGCATTGGGGTGGTCACACATTTTGTAATGCCTGCAAATGATGCCACATCATTGTCAAAATCAGCAGCACTGCTTGGGAGCATCACATAAGATTATGGTTTAACAAAATCTGACCATTAGGATATCAAAGCACTCAGAAATTAACATTACATCACAAAGAAATGTTAGTCTCGTCTCAGCAAGCAAATTTGAGACATGAGCTCCTGATAATGTAATGAAAAAGTAATGCTGGAGGGAGCGATTCTCCACTTTGCTACATGTATGGGATTTCAAGCATTTAGTTTAGAAAACCATATCAATAGAATTTGTCACAAAAATAATAGCTATTTTGTTAGCCATTTTTAGGAGAAATCGGAAGCAGGGATACAGAGTCTGCCCCTGGGTACCATTGCACTAATTTAGTTTTGCCTTCATACCACTCTTTTCATCACATTCCCTGATCTGTCACTTTAACAGTTCTCATTTTGTACACGGTTAGCATTCACCAGAAGGATGAAACAAAATAATCACATGGGCCCAGTTAGGACAATCTATAAACAAAGGAAACTGCTGTAGTTTGGGAATTAGAACTGTAATAGATGAATTTCAGTGGCTGCTATAGAGCAGATTGCTTTTTCAGACTAACACAAATGACTTAAGATGAACCTTGCATGTACATTCAAGTTTGGTTTATGTTGCAGCTCGCCCAATCCAAAAACACAAAATTCACAGTGAAAGCTTTAAAGATAAAACATTTGAAGCAAAATGTAAAAAATACTCCCCTTACACCCAGGCTTCCAGCCACTTCCTGTACGCACCACTGACATCCCTGCGCTTCATTGCAGGATCGTTGGAAAGCTCAGAATCCCAAATCTCACAAGAAGATGCTCCAGCATCATGCAAGGGCTCATTATCACAGGATTTGATATCCGCAGGATTCCCAGTATTCCATGAGAAGGCCCAGTGACGTAACCCTTGCTAAGACTGGCACACAGGAAGCTGGGGTGTAAGGTAGGTTTTTTAATTCAGGGGGAAAGGAGGTGTTACCGCCAACACCAGTGTACACTCACCATTCCAACAGCCCACTAACTTTGAATGTTATTACAACCTAGACATTGTTAATTATGACAGTGTTATGATTGTTGCTATACTGTTTGATTAGCATAAATTCAATAAAGTATACCTGTCTACCATACACATTTGAGGAAGCAAACTTGTGTTTTGTACTCATTTTTCCGAGAAGACTACTATTCAGTTTATAATGAACATCATGAATGCCTAAAGCCTATGCTACAAGTAATATGTAATCATTTTAGTTTGAAGACGATCTCCTGCAATCACTAGAAAGATATGGTGGAGGCAAGGCCATGTGAAGCTCTGCTCTAAAGGTTTCTGGGTGACAGTTTCTAACAAGCAAAACAGGAACTGAACCTATGAGCAGAACACTACAGGGCTGAAGGCAAAGAGGCAAGTAGATTCTCTGTAAATTCAGCCAAATAAATGGCTGTGCTCCCTGTATATGGGTGACAGGTACACTTTAAATGTCAGGACGGCATTGCTTGACCTTGCAGCCATATTCTCACAGCTTAGCATAGTCTTTCAATATTATCTCCAGTTTTTGACTCAGCATGATGTTGCCTTTCACTTTGAGCTTGCCGGCGAAAAATGCCTAAGAATAAAATGAGAAAAAAAAAAAACATCAAACACGCGGATATTGTTTTGTTATCTCCATCCCCCCTCTGCTTTTTCTCTTTCTGCAGAAATGTCACTTTGAAAAGCACAGCCTGTCCCAAAAGAGTTGAAATGAGTAATTCTAAAAACACGGCACATAGCATCAAAGATGAACAAGCTTCAATGTAATATAATCAGCAATACATTGAAATCACCATCTTTTCTTCCCACAAGACATAAATGCACACTTAATTTTGCAGTCAAATTCTGGCAAGAAGCAAAGAAAAAAAAACCCTCTAAATTAAATGCCTTGCAAGAAAATAAAGTGCTTCAGCTGATGGCACACATTGCAAGCGCGCGTTTGGCGTTTACGCTCAAAGGGGAACAGTCTTTCGTGCGGTAAATATATTGCTTTCTGAAATTTTCCTTGTGATGCTTAAGAGAATGCTGAGTGCTGCAATCTACAATGATACTTATGCCTTAAAGGCAACGTTTAGTCTCCCTGCTGACTCAGTGGTATGGAGATAATGCCTTTGCATTTTATATCTCTACGCCCTCATTCTCTTGTATTTTTCTTTTATGTCTTATACATTTAATTGGTATAGATCTGGGAACACATTGCAAAGCCACACAGTGGTGACTCTCTACTTAGTGAGATTATATGTGTCCTGCATCATCTTATGCAAGGCGCATTTAATCATATGCATCTATGTTATTGTCCTATGTCTGAACTGTATCAATTGTGGTTTAAGGGTTAAAGGAAAACAATATTTATTATTTTATTGATGTTCTTGGTAATGCCTGTAAAGACGAGCTGTGTTTACTGAATTAAAGTGCATCTCTAGTCAAAACCTTTTTTTAATTATTATTTTTGGATGAAGTGAAGTAGGATTAGGCCTTTGTCAGGCTTTTGTTTCTCAATATAAGATAAAGCCAGCACACTAAAAAAACCAGATTAGAGTTTTACTGAGGTCTCATGTCATCTCTCTTTTAGGTGTGTGGAGGCCATTTCCTGCGATTGACAGGTACCTCTATAGGCCATGCACCCCACTTTTTTGCTACAACGCATATAAGAGAAGTGTGAAACAGATGTACTGATTTAGGTTTTCATTGCCGTGTTCTAACTGGGGAGATTTATTTGTCCCGGTGATAGAAAATCCAAGATTTTACAGTTGCCACTGAAATAGGAGGCAAGCAAAAATGTTCCAAGGACATCTGTCCTGGTATCAACTGTCTAAAATCAGAATTCCTCGCTTTAGAGATATTTGCACTCAATTCCTGCTTTGTCTCCGGGACAGGAATTGAAGGAAAATCTATCCCATAGGACACATACATCTAATTAAAAAACATATAAAACAAAAAAGATCTGCGCCAGTGATGATGCAAAAAAAGTGAAAAAGAGCTACTAAGCACTTAAATGATATCTGATATAATACAAAATATACATGCAATAATGTGCCAAGCTAAAGAAACAACCAAATATAAACAGTGAAAAATACAACAATAATTATAAGCTGAACTTAAACCACATAACATACACAGTGATATAAAGTCCAAAACAAATCAACTGATGCGGTGCAGATAACGAATCCAAACAATGCGATGCAACCTGTACAAGCAACATGAGCAGTCCTCTGAAGCAGACTTTATAGTGTGCAGGAAAAAAGACTCTTTGATAATCCTTCACCTCCACCAAGTGAATGCACAAATTACAAAGGAGTGCTCACCTGGGTCTGGATCCACAGAGTAGGCCTCAAGTGCACATCGTTTGATTTGTTTTGGACTTTATCTCACTGTGTATGTTATGTGGTTTGAGTTCAGCTTATAATCATTGTTGTATTTTTCACTGTTTATATTTGATTGTTTCTTCAGCTCGGCACATTATTGCATGTATAATTAAAAAACATACCCTAAAAGGGGATTTAAATGCTCGACAACTCGATACAAAACTGATTTAATAGGTTTTTGCTTTAGATGCACTTTAATAATGAGAGCAATTCCGTTAGAAGTGGAGTGGGTGAGGAGCTTTGGTGTTTTGCAGCATACTGAGCTTTGCTTTGTAGCATCTGTTCTGCATGAGATATCTACTTGCCTGAAAAGGTCCTATGCAGATGTGAGGAGTTGTAGGCTTTTCCACAGAGACTCAATATCATCACTAAGACCTCCAGCTTAAATATTTGGCCCCCAAATGGTTGACTTAGAGATGTGATGTCAGTGACTCCATGGGATGGCTTACACGCTGCTGAGTAGCAAAAAGCTGAAAGGAGGTCAAATTGCACAGTCTCCTCCCCCTACCCTGATAATTTAAACAGCAGACACTTCCCAGCATATCGTTCAGCACTCTAGGACAACGCTGGCATTATAGCAAGCTGCATTGAGGAGAGTATTGATCGCAATAAATGCTATTAAAAACCTTGGGACATCTGTGAATAAATTACTTTTTTTGTTTAAGGAGGAAAGAGGCGATTTTCAGTAAATATATTAAAGGAGAACTATGAGGTGAGTGCTTTTCACTCATCTCATAGTTCTAGCCGACCTGTGGCAATGAGACTGTCACAGGTCGGCTCAGTAGATCGGGAAGTGAGCGAACACATACCGGCATTCGCTCACTTCTCAATGCCGTCACGGCAGAGAGCCGTGACAGGGGAGGGGCTGGATTCCCCCCCTCCCTGCTCCGATCCTCCAGCGCTGACAGGCGGAACGGACGGGGGAGGGGCGGGTACAGCTGGCTCTGCCTCTAGATAGGCAGAGCCAGCTGTCACTCACGCAGCTGGGCGGATCCAGACATAATTGTCGGGATCCGTTTCAGCTGCGGCGTCTCAGTATACTCGCAGTATACTGAGCTTAGGGTGACGGGAGGACGCTAGTTTGTGTCCTCCTGTTACCCTTAGAACTATGAGCCCTAACCCCGGAGTTCTCCTTTAAACATATCTGATCAAGCAGTCTCACAAAATTAGGGTGACACTATGCTCTACGCATTGCTTAATATTTTGTGTTCAATCCTAAACTTAATTGCTTAATGGTATCTAGCTAACTGTAGATCCCAGTTCCCGTTCATCTTCTTGACAGCTCAATTAGAGCACCAAACTTTAAAGAGATTCATGTCTTGGACATAGTTTCAAGGTCAGAACACTCATTTCTGAATTAAGATATTGTTTAATTCCCTACCTTTTGAGGATTTAGATTTCCCAAAACAAGATCCATAAAGTCTTGATCAGCAAGTGTAAATGTGGTATCAGCACGGCCACGGACTTTACCACGATAGACTTCACCAGCCCCATTCTTCAGGTCAATAGCTTTCGAGGGAGAAATACAAGTTTGAAATTAATTATTATTATTATTAATTTATTATATAAAACAATTCCTTTACAAGTGCCTTTAGATCTTACCCAAGTCTTATCAAGATGCCATTAATAGCTTTTGGGGTACAGATAGACTAAATCATGGATACCTCCCAACAGCCCCTTCATCATTTCTGTTTGTCAGGTCCCAGAGAGCAGAGCTTAGTAAAATGGCACAGCTTTTGACAGATGCGGTCACATATAGGGGATGAGATCAAGTGGTTCAAGGAGGGAATTAAATTGTACTAATTGATCTCAATCATTTTGATTACACTTAATAACAGTCACAATCTGCATTACTCTTTAAAGTACATTGACACAAGTCAATGTAACAAGTGTCCCCATTGAAAGATTTCTCTTCAAATTCTGTTTCAGTAACTGTCAAAGCTTGGGTTTTTCTTCTTGATGGTCTGCAGGACAAATAAAGCGCAGTGGCAACACAGATAGCAATAATAATTAAAAAAAACATGAAAGAGGCTCTAATTCTTCCCACTATATCCAAGAAAAGAAAAAAAAAAAAGTTTATGTTTGGACTAAAGATACACCTGAAATAGAAAAAGTACAAATCTTCTAGGCTTTATCTTTAACAAGTATGTAAATCACTTGTGTGATATCCACAGTAGATTTACCTGGTGTTCTGGGTATAGCACCATGTGCATGTTCCCAACTCTTCCCAACCATGTGCTATAAAATACCTAAATTATTGGCACTACACCTTCTAAAGAATGGCCACTCTGCCCAAAACTACTGACCGACTAAACAGCAAAATCACAGTGAAGAATCCAAACACAGAAACAAATAGAGCAGAAAGGGCGGGGCTAAATACCAGGCAATTCGAAAGAGAAATGTTCTGTACTTGGGTTGACCAGCTTTCAATTCAGGAACTAGCTCCATAGCTCATAGTCTGGAGCCACAGTGCAGCATGTCTTTTGTTTTGGACAAGCTCCTGTGCTGAAACAGAGCAGGAATTGAGTTGCTGGAGCTAGAACAAGGATGGAGCTAACCTCTGGAGCAGGCGTTGTGCAGTCTCCCCATGCTATAGTATGTCACATGACCATCTTTGATTTGAAATAGAACATTAATGTGCAAATAATTGTGTAGTAGCAAAACAAATTTCATTAAAGTGCCATTAAAGGATAAAATGTTTTTCCCTCCCCCCAATGTTAACGTCAGCACTTACCTTAAATGATGTCTCTTAATCCGATTTTCTTCTTCTTTCCTCATCTTTTCATCTGTCACTCCAGCGGTGCGGCGGCTCTCTGATCCAGCGCTGACTCCTCTTTGCTTGCTGGCACTTCTGATCCCACGGTGTCTGCGTCCATAGACTTACCTTGCGTCTCTGCTCGTCTCCCGACTGCGCATGTGCCTGCCTCAAGATGCTTTGCGGCCCCCCGAACAGTTTCGTTTTCTCGGGCGGGAGCGTGCAGCGAAAATAAGGTAAGTTTAAACCGCTGTTAAAGCGTTTTTTTTGTTTATTTTTTGAAACTGTTTGCCTATATCTACTGCTTGATAGCAGTAGATATTGGCAAAAAAACGGGAAGGTTTAGAACCCCTTTAAAACACAAATCTGAATAGATAGAAATAAGTAATATTTAAATTCATTTCCTTTCTTGCATCCATACTGGCATATCATTATTATTAATAGAGAGGATTTATATAGCACAAACAGTTTGTGCAGTGCTTTACAATATGAAGGGAGACAGTGCAGTTACAATACAAATCAAGACAAGAGGGTTATGTGGGTCCTGCTTGTGATTTAAAAAAAAACTTTAACCACTTGCCGTCCGCTCGTTGTAAATAAACAGACGTAGTGCAAGCAATCATTCTAGTGCCATCAATTTCCGATAACACTAAACTGATGAGCGGTAAAAAGCTTTAAAAGTGTTGCCTATTGGTAAGTTTGGGTATTGTAGTTTTTTGGTGTCTATTTACCCGACGTGACCCCATCTTTTATATTTTACCAAACAATTGGTTAGTAATACATTTTTCAAAACATAATGTAGGAGGAAATATTTTTTGACAAAATGTTTGGCAATTTTTCCTTTATGTAGTGAAAAATAAAACCCCCCAGTGGTGATTATATGCCATGGAAAGAAAGCTCTATGTGTCCCCAAAAAATGATATCAAATTCATTTCAGTACAGCGTTGCATGACAGAATAAACGTCAATCAAAGTACCGCAGCGCTGAATACTGAAAAAAGGCCTGGACAAGAAAGGGGTTTACCACCCTGGTCTTCAAATGGTTAAAGGGAGGGGCAAGTTAGTGCAGCTCTTATCCATCATTTCCTGGTTTAACATTCCTTGGATTTTGAAAGCTCTTTTGTGATCTACTCTTGTGAGTATAATTTTATCTTTGCTGCTTCTCAATAAAATCGATCCACACTAGGGTAGGCGCCCCTTGTCTTTTGTTCTGAGGGGCAAGTGATACTTAAGGTAATAACTGTGTGAGGATGAGTTGATGGAGAAAGTAAAAGTTCAGTTTGGTAAGGCGGGACTGAGGCAAGAGATAACAAGCGAGTGAATTAGTAGCTTGGTGGTGTCAATAGTTAAGGGCGTACTTCAGAAATGTTACGGAAGTGAAAGTGGCAAGATTGGACAGTGATTGGATGTATGGCTGAAATCACAGATCAGAGTCCAGGATTACACCTAGCACATTGGTATGAGGGGAGGGACTGATAGTTGTAATATTGATCCAGATGGGAAAGGTTTTTCCCATCTGGATCAATATTTAAAAAAGTTAATTTATTAAGCAGTCATAGTGATTGCTTGATATAAACTGACAAAAAAAAAATATTTATTTTTTTACACTTATTTTTTTTACAAAGTGTAAAAAAAAAAAAAAAGTGTACAAAAAATTAGGAAAATAAAACGTTTATATATAAATATATTTGTATACTATAATTATTATTAAAAAAATTCTAAAAATAATAATAATAATCAAAACTTGCTGCTGTGGAAGAATCACACAGCAAAAATGTAAAAAGTGTGTCAGTCATTTAGGAACAGAAACTAAAAACTAGCTCAGTCATGAAGGGGTTAATAAAGAGAAGGCAGATGTAATCTTTTTCTAATCTATACAAGGCTTGTATTAAACTTGTGAAGAAACACAGCTCATCTCTGCAAGATTGTCATAACTTTTTACCACAAAACAGATTGCTTACGGCTGCATACACTAAAGCACACACACAGAAGTATATAGAATATACAGGACAACTGCTTCTACTGTATGATTCAATTCTCAGCATTTCTCCATCCCAAAAGCTCTGTAGCTTATCAGTTTTCTCTGCCGAGCTCCATTTTAAAAGTTCACTCTCCTCATCTAAACACACACACCACAATGAAATGACAGCAACAGGCATAGAGTGGGGAGTCCGTGACAAATAAATCACGCTACACAAAGCAAACACTGGCATAGTGATGTGATACAAGTTATCATAGTGCAAAGTCAATGAACAAGGGTGATGCTTGAGAGGCTCAAAGTATTTTTCCGTTTGTCAGAGCATTGAAACTTGCTGCTAACAGCAGTAAGTGGGAGCTTCAGATTTCCGCATTTGACAATTTTTGTCAACACTTCTGCATGAACTTCACAACATATTTTGCCATTTTTCCACTGTTGTATGTCCTGCCAGGAGGATTTAACTAAAGCCACAGGCCTATTGTGTGTTAAAGAAAATCTTTGCAAACCCAGATTCCTACATATTACATAGGGTTGAATTTGAAAATGACAAATACAGGCTGTGGCCTAAAGAGGCCAGCTGGGGCTCCCCCGAGGTGCTGCATCTAATGAGTTGTGTTCTTTCTTAAGGATTCATGCAGAAAGTGTTGGCTTTTGTTGCATTTCCAGGTCCCTATACCATAATGTTACTAATAGCAACAGATACCTGGCTACCAAAGTAAAAGTACTAAACGGTTTGGTAAAAACGTAGCCTTTAAGCTGGCAGAGGGTGAGGCAAGCAGCGTATTAGGATGAATCTGATAAGAGGTATAAGTCACAGCAGAGGTCTGACAAGGTTAGCATGTATATAGAATTTTGATGATTGCTGGCATTGGGTAAGAATCGTATCACAGGCAAAGGCTGATGCAGGCAACCGGCAGACAACAATAAGAAAACAGTATAAGTTTCTACCCACAGAAGGATGCCTGTGTTGCACTTGCCATTTGGGCCATCAGTCAGCATGATGTGCTATTCTCAAGAACACAACATACATTCTGAACTGAAGTAGTATTAATATCCCCAGTTTCTAGCAGCCCATGCTCTTTATTAAGCTTGATGAAGACCAAAATATTCACATTGCTACACTGTATGCTGAATCCTTTTGATTAAAACTTTTTTTTTATTATGCTACAACTGTTTGTGCGTATATGTATATAGAGTACTGTGCAGAAATTTTAGGCAGGTGTGAAAAAATGCTGTAACATAGGCATTCTTTCATAAATAAGTGTTAATATTTTATTTTTATCGATTAACAAAATGGAAAGTAAATGAACAAAAGAGAAATCCAAATCAAATCAATATTTGGTGTGACCACTCTTTTCCTTCAAAACAGCTACTGTTAAACAGATTCTTCTAGGTACACTATAGGTTGTTCCAAACATCTTGGAGAACTAACTACAGATCTTCTGTGGATGTAGGCTGCCTCTGGACTGATGACTCAAAATGTGAAATATTTGGCTCTAGCAAGAGGCAAGTTTGTTCACCGAAGGGCTGGAGAGCGGTACAATAATCAGCGTCTGCCGGCAACAGTGAAACATGGTGGAGGTTCCTTGCAAGTCTGGGGCTGCATTTCTGCCAATGGAGTTGGAGATTTGGTCAGGCTCCATAATGTCCTCAATGCTGAGAAATAAAAGAATAGACGTATCCATCATGCCATACCATCAGGGAGGCGTTTGAATGGCTCCAAATTTATCCTGCAGCAGGACAACAACCCCAAACATACAGCCAATGTCATTAAGAA